ATCGCAGTGGACTTTATTGTTTTGACTATTAATTAACTGATTGGCAGATTGAAACTTTATAATACTCCGTATCTCGATTCTTTTGAAGTAGTGGTTGTTAAGAAAAAATTAAAATAAAGAACGTTTAACGTCCTGCAGCATGCAGTGCCATTGTTTGCATCGAGGTGTGATATTTTTCACATGAAACACTGCATGCATTAAGGGCACTCCACAAATGGATCGGGCTTGGTGCAGATTTGTTTTTAGCTGGGCATTATTTTCAGATAAGAACATTTATGTTGTGCCTGCCAGGTGGACCATCATACGTAAACATGGCAGATCGGCAGTTTTCCGACATGCCTTCCCTCGAAGGATATACCTTTTAACGAAAAAAGCCTTAACCTTTTTCAACTTCATTAAACCAAACACGGACAGAATGACTTGTCTATACAGGTGTATACATGTTATACTATGGTAGAAAAAAGTTTATACGTTCAACACATTTTATAACCCAAACCTCAGTGGATAAAATTTGACTAATCTGGTTTTCAAAACACAACTAGCCCCCACCATGGCTATTGGAGATATTATAAGTGGTTGTTTCCTTCAACAAAAATTCTTCTAAAAATCATCAGTTTGCCGAGATTGCATGTTCTTATTATGTATGTGAAATTTTCTATTCCACTGATGAAGTATTATAGAAATCACCAAAACTGTGTACTTTTTGTGACATTTCTCTCGCATGGCATGATGTGTACAGTGCTTGTTTGATTAGCCAGTTCTGGGCATGGGGTTTTTCTCTTTGATTACAAGACCATTTCTTTTCAATGGCTTGAGAGCAGACCATTTTGCATTTCAAAACATTTTGAGTAAAAAATTTTAAAAAATATTTGTATGTTTTCTTTGTCTTTTTACTCCTTCACGTTTCCTTTTTACCTTTTTAAAAAAATTCGATTGAGATTTGGCAATGCAAAATAGCGCATTCCCAGCACTGCTTTAGGAACGCTTGTCTATTGTGTCTACACATTGCTATGACTGGCGATGCTCAAGTGCTTCAGCTGCAATTGGGCAGGCGGCAGAAACCAGGCTTTAGCGGTGCCATGCACAAAGCTTACTTCGGATGGGTTGCATGGCCACTACAAAAAATCCATGATTGGACTGCAAACTTGGAGGTGCATTTGGGCCACGATAGCAATAGGGCTTGCATGAAAGGATCTCTAGGGCAGTGGTCGAGACAAATCAGTTACAGTGGTACTGGCAGCAATCATGCTTGCTTCCAGCAGGCAAAAATGAAATATCTAGACTTTCAAGAGTGGTACACCGATCATAAATGTAAAACTGTTAATAAACAAGCAATGCAAGCAGATTCAGTCGGAGTTTAAGCAAAAAGTACCACTCCAAGAAATAAACCTTGGACAAGAACTTTGACACAGCCCAGTCTTTTCAGCTCCTTTAGAGTCCATTTCATAATATTATGTTTAATGGCATGTATTTTTGGTGAAACATCCGTTTGGTTGAAAGTAAAAGATGGAATTTGAAATAAACCTGAAATGTTATATCCAGGAATGGCAAAGTTAATCGAGGATTCAAAGGTTTTTGAGAGAATTTTTGTTTCTGTGACCTCAGACATCATTTTTCATTTAGAGGTTGTTAAAACCAAGAGAATGTAGCTCACGAGTAAATAAATCGAACAATATGTGCATACGAGTCACAGGGCTAGAAAATATTGGCAAATGTGGTGATTTACGGGGGCATTGTTTGCCAAACCGCATGGCAGGGGCTTTGATGTGTTGGTGAGGGAGGCTCCATTGTTACGCCCCTGGCCAGCACCTGGGCAGAGTACGGTTTCATTGTGTAATAAACCACGTGGGCTGTGGCTTTTTTGGAAGGCTTGGGAAGGTTTCTATTGTTTAATGTTGAATGCAAAAAGCGTGACAGGGGTTTCTTCTGGGTTGGATTGTGCCAAACTGTAAACAATAGACTCCAGGATGGATGAGTGTTTGATCAACCACCAGACCAGTCTCCAAGTCCGGTAGCGGGTCCAGTATGAAAGGGGTTTTTGCTACTGGACTAGCTTAGGGTCGGCGACCATTTAGACCCGGTTTGAAAAGGGCCCCCCGGTTAGCTCGCCCTGTTGCAAAAACCCCTTTCATACCGGCCTGGCTACCGGCCTGGGATGCTGGACTGGTTGTTGATCTCGGGGTCTATTGTTTGCAAGTACTGGTACATGTAATCTATCCCAGAAGGAACCTGCTTATGGTTTTTAATCCTTCAGCTCTATACAATGTTTACACTAATCCGCTTAGACCCCTTTTCATCTGTGGAAGCATGGTGGGGGAAGCCTTTCTTCAGGGACTTTGAAATGCCAATGTGCAGACAGGCCTGATACCGGCCTGGAGCAGCCTGAATACCGGGCAGGCATTATACCGGCTGGGCTACCAGGGGGCCCTTTTCAAACCGGGTCTAAATGGTTGCCGTCCCTTACCGCAGGGCCCTTACTTACCAGACCTTAATGGTCACCATACCCAACCACAGTCACATTTGTCATGACCTCATCAGGTATAAGGTTAGATCATATTAAAGTTGCACAACTTAAAGCACTATATCTTCTGTAGAACAGGTTGGATTGGATTGAAGCATTGCAGGTACTTAAAAGAAACATGTTATGGATCAAAATTGAAGTGACCTGATGATATGGTCATTGCCTGTCAACTGACGGCACATTAAAACTGCAGGTCTCCTGCGTTCACATACCCCTGCCCAGCCTACATATGCACATTTTTTTACAGACATGTCTTTATGGCATTAGCAGAGTTTTGAGTCCTGTAACCTTTCGCGTATGTAAATTGACTTGATTCTTGAGTAAGAATAAAGAGTGTTTTCTGTGCTATTGGTGCTTTTCTTTGTACTTCGTACTTTTGTTGTTCTTTTCTGCCCCTTTTTCTGTGCATTATCTACAGGTTTGGGTGTGACCTACCATTGGATTGTTTGTGCGTGGAAATGGCTATTGAACAGGGCTAGCAGGCAGCCCTTTGTTCTAAATGTGGTGCGTAAGTTCGAACAGTAACAATCCAGCACTGTATGGGTCTGGCCGTGGAGCGGGGCTGGTGGGCTACCTCGCTCCTTTGTGGTGCGGTTTGTGTTATTCGAGATCCAATGGGCCAGGGTTGAGTGAACAGTTGCCGCAAGATACCCCAGACCCTTATCTACATTCATCTGGTTGAGCAAGCACTTGCCACAACATTACCCTTGATTACTGATGACCATGGCTGGAATTGTTCGGGTGAGCGAGCAGCTACCGCAACATTACCCTTGATGACTACTCCGGGTGCCTGCCGGTCGGGCCGAGCTGAAGTTACCCCTGATCATCGTTGACCAAAGCCTAAGGAGCTGTTTCTTCTCTATGCTATAGGTACTATGTGCCGCTATCGGCTACA